TCCACCTGAAGACGGAGACAGATTCAGTCTCCGAAACGTCGTGGTTTTTTTTTTTGTCTTTTATATACCAGACGATGGGTGAAGTCCAAAATAAACCAAAAGAAGTACACATACATTAGTTAATTAAACAAATTAAATTAATATTTAATAAATCAAATAAGTCAGTGAAGTACGTCTGCTGGCTGCCAAGTTAGATATGTACATTTGGTAGCTCTTTTCTGGACCACTTGACATTCAAATTCCAGATCCAATGTGAATTCAGTGAAAGCACATTATTTACTACTTTATTGCATTTTAAGGCCGAACAGGTAGACTTACAGACATTATGATTCCCTCACTGGTAAGATGTCAAAGCAAAAGATTTATTTGCAAGATGGTAACAGAGCAAAGGAACAGACACCCAATAAGCAGATATCAGGTACAAAGTCAGTCTCATTATAAATGTTGAAAAAGTTGAGGACCCAAGAGAAACTGCAGATGCCTTCAATACTTTTTTCTGACAATTACAGAAAATCTAAACTTTCATAAAGAAGTGGGAGATAATGTCATTTCATTTTTAAGAGAGGCATTTCCTAGAAAATTCCCTGGTATTAAAACCATTCCAACCACAGAAACTGAAATAAAAAGTAAAATACATTCCCTCAAAACAAAAAACTCTTCAGGTTATGATGGAATAACAAGCAAAATTTTAAAAGTTTGTGCATCTCTAATCAGTAGCCCATTAACTCACATCTGTAATCACTCACTATCCACAGGAATCTTTCCTGATCATCGTAAGATTTCAGTAGTAAGACCACTATATAAAAAAGGGGACAAGACTAGTATGTCAAACTACAGGCCAGTTTCACTGCTATTTTCTCTAAAGTACTTGAAAAAGTTATGCACAATAGGTTAAGCCATTATTTTCAGAGTAATATACTGCTTCCAGAACAGTTTGGCTTTAGGAAAGGAATTTCTATTGAAAATGCAGCCTTTAAGTTAACAGACAGTGTATTGAAATCTATTAATCAAAAAATGCATGTTGGTGGAATATTCTGTGACCTGGCAAAGGCTTTTGACTGTGTAAATCATGAAATTTTATTAACTAAATTACATTTTTTTGGCATTCAAGGAACAACGTTAAGTTGGTTCAGATCCTACTTAACAGATAGAAAACAAAATATTGAACTAAAATCATCAAATTCAATCCAAAGTACCTCTCAAACTGGGGAATAATAAAACATGGAGTTCCACAGGGGTCAATTTTGGGACCTTCACTTTTCATAATTTATATAAACGACCTCCCTCCTACACTAAGGACCTCATCAGTACCTATAATATTTGCAGATGACACTAGTGTTATAATTTCTGGTAAAAATTTAGATGATTTCTGCATGTTATCAAGCAAGGTTCTTTCGCAAATGAGTAAATGGTTTTCTGCAAACAAGCTGTCCCTGAACCTAGAAAAAACAAATGTAATAAAATTTATAACAAACACTCACCACAATATCCATTAAACATAGGAGATAATGATAAATATACAGAAGAGGGAGTAAACACAAAATTCCTTGGCTTTCAAATTGATAATAATTTACACTGGAAAAACCATATCGATCAGTTGATTCCAAAGTTAAGTAGAGCCTGTTATGCAATTAGATTCATGTTACATATTAGTAACATTGACACTCTCAAATAAATATATTGCTTGTTTTCACTCTTTAATGAAGTATGGAATAATTTTCTGGGGTAATTCATCTGACAGTAAAAAGGTATTTACATTGCAAAAGAAAATTGTTAGAATCATGATGGGTGTCAAATCCTGTAATTCCTGCAGAGATCTATTTAAGACTACAGATCTTAACTTTTCCTTGTGAATATATATATTCATTAATAAACTCAGGAGGGATGTGAAGAAATATTAAGGAGAGTTGAATGGAAATCTTCCAGGGCTGCATATTTAAGCTGTATTTCTATTTGTTTCAAAGGAGATATAAAACCTTCTTACATGTTTAAGCAGGTGACAAAGTGTGCTCTTGCCTGATCCTGATGGACCAACAATCACAACCCCCATTCTTTGCTGTAACTGTTCATACACCTCCAGACACTTCCTCACCTGAAAAGATTAATGTATATTTTTTATTATAAGATGGCAAGAAATGAATTCCCATCATAAATATATTATTTGCATGCTAAGAAACCAAGATTCTTATTTATTTTTAGACTTGTATTTACACAACAGATTCATAGTCAGTCTTACAAGACCACTCATCTTCCATTACCATATTGCACCTTCTAAAGAGTGACTTTATTTTGAGTCAAACAATTGGACAAGCAACTTCACTGTTAATACAATGCTACAAAAAAGCTATCTATCTTAAGTAAGATTTCATAGTCTTTATCATGTACACTGTGTTAATACTAGGACAGTGCAGTAATGTAAGTTATGGTAACATCCCTTGCATTCAACACTTATACGCATTCTGGTGAACCAGCCATTATCTCTAAAAGAATTGCTATAAAAGCATGGGGCATGACAGAAGACAAAATAAACAGTCCCCCTGATGATGCCATAAATACTGAAGTTATGTGGGCTTCATTTGCAGATTTAAAATCTAATAACAATTCTTAGTATGCTTGTATATTCTGCAGCCTGTCATATTACACATAAATACAGCACTAAGGTTGAGACATCATCATTCTGAGAACACTGTTTTACAGAAATAAATATTATTCCCCACATATTTCTCTGTGGAATATTAAATTTCACTATAAGAAATTCCATTTTATGAATAGAAACTAAATTCCCTTATGTACACCAGTCTTCAACTTAATGATATTAAAATTATCTATGATAACAAAATCGAAATAATGAACATAGAGAGCTCTGGCATTTTTCTTTTTTATTTGCACGATTCCTTGTGTAAATATTAGTAAGCAAATATCTTAAAATAGTCAATATTCACAAGTTTGTGTTGACTATATTGTTATTTTTTTAATCATAAAAATTTGCTATATTAAACTTCTACATCATGTAACAGTCTCCTATAGTAAATAAGCATGACAAAAACAATTTACAGAAACAAAAACAATATTACCTTCACATAACTGGGCACCTAATCAAGTGATTTATAACTGTAACAAAGCCAAGAGTGACAACAACTTACAAAAAAACAAAACATGCCAAGGAAGTCAAACAGGTGTCATAAAAATATTATCACTTCTGGACACACAGTAATGAGAATTGCAGTTCATGTGTCAAAACACTGACCCTTTAAACATGAAAATTATTTCATACATAATTTTTAAGTGAAAGTAATTTTGTGCAGGTGTCACCCTGATCAATTTGTAGACAGAACAATCCACTGTAGCAAGATGCATTTCAGCAAACCACTGAAGCTGACTTACACCAGAACAGGACAGTCACTTTCACAAGGACTAATTAAAGTGACTGGTTTGTTTGTACTATCTTTCATTGTACAATCAATTTCTTGTTCCTTCTCAAAACCAGTTTACAGTTTGTGGCCTTATTTTATTTTATATGGACCACATAATATACAGGATTTCTTGTGAATTTTATTTGCTTTCAATTATGTCTCACCTTAATTTCTTTTACATCAAATAACACATCTCAAAACCAGTTTACAGTTTGTGGCCTTATTTTATTTTATATGGACCACATAATATACAGGATTTCTTGTGAATTTTATTTGCTTTCAATTATGTCTCACCTTAATTTCTTTTACATCAATTAACACAACATCATATAAACAAGTAAGTACGAGTATACTGCTAAATATGCCTTACTTGATTTTCATTGCAGAATAGTCCTAAGTCACTGAAACTTTCTTTCAAAGCTGCTGTAAGCTCCTCATAACCAGAACTAGTGAACTGAACACCAGGAAATACATCTCGAACTAGGGAATCAAAGCGAGCACAATCTGCAAATGTCAACTTGGAAAGAGTGTTGAGACGTAATGCTTGAACCACAAGCTCTTTCTCTGCATTTTCATCTAAGGAACCCTTTCCCTCCTTCAGAAGGTTCTTACGGGCTGCCTTCAACACACTTCCACAACCTCCAAGCACTGTTTTCAATGCTCGTAGACCCCAATCATAGTGCTGTTGTTTTGTCAGCAGCTTCCTACAGGTATAGAAATAAGAAGTCCATGTTAAAATCTATATCATTAATAAACATATTACAATTCCTGCCAAGGACATTACAACAAAGACATTTTAAAACTGATATTTTATAATAAGGCATAATCACAAAGTGGCCTTTCCAAATTCAGGGCAGGTAATTCTACTACTGGTAACTTACTTGAAACATCATAATTATGCCTCAAAATTCAGTGAAAAGATGTTAGAGTAGAAATGGTAACCTTACTGTTAATGCAGACTTAATTTCTTCAGAATTTCTGTATCTAATGGTCATGTACCTGAATGGATCGATGAATGCTAATAAATACAATACAATACAATACAACTGCAAGTTAACACTACTGATTTTTATAACTGAGTGGTTAAAGCAACATAGACTGGAAAGGATTTGGAAGGAAGCAGTCATGATCTAATCAAGGCACTCTCCTGGCATTTGCCTGAAATGAGTGGGGAAAACTATGAAAACCTGAGTGAAGATTGTTGGTATCCTAAGTGAGACAGGAACCAAGAACTTCCTGGATACAAGTCCACAGCTTTATAACTAGGCCAACCTAGAGTTCTCTTTGTTCTGTTGTTTCAGAAAGCAGCATTATGAAAGTTACATGACAAGTACTTTAAATGGTACTGATATGGTTAGTTAAGGTAAGGTTTGCTGAAAAGGTATCTCATAAAGTCTGGTTTAATATCAGAAGGATCACATACTTATGCACCTTGAAAGGTCAAAAACTTCAACCAGCTTTTTGCCAATGGACTTGGCAGATTTGAAACCTTCACAGTACAGAATCACTTCAGCAATCAGATCATTGTCAGGATGTGACATCACCACAGGCCGGAACAATTGCTTTAGATTATCTGGCAACTTCTGTCTTCCCCCGTAACCCTTCCCTGCCGGATTCATAGTTACAAATATTCCACAGCTTGGATCCAAAGGTACCTAAAAAGATTCAGTAAATTAATCATTTCTGAAAACATGACAAATGCTGACAATTCTATTTAAGTGGAATTAAATTCTTTGTTATATGCCTATATGTTGAGCCACTGTCATATGGCAACACACAATACAAAATACCAGAAACGATATCTTTGAAAATGTTAATTCTATAAACTGGTTTCTAAATGAAACATTTAAATAAAATGAATGGCACTTTGTGCAGTAATGAATAAGAAGATAATTTTGCAAAATTCAGGCATTTAAGAGCTGACGTGTGACAAGCACTGGATAAAATAAATACACTAATTAAATAATATGAAATAAAACGAGTATAATCACATTCTGTGAACAGTATTACCTTACTTGAAAGGATTCTGACGATGGTTAATACTCTACTTCTTTTGGTTTATTTTGGACTTCACCCATCGTCTGGTATGTGAAAGACAAAAAACCACGACGTTTCAGAGACTGGATCTGTCTCTGTCTTCAGGTGGATAGGGAAGGATAAACCTACTTAGTTGGGCCCCTTAGAAAGAGCTAGTCTCAATCACTGGTCCACGACGTTTCGGAGACAGATCCAGTCTCCAAAATGTCGTGGTTTTTTGTCTTTCACATACCAGACGATGGGTGAAGTCCAAAATAAACCAAAAGAAGTAGAGTATTACCTTACTGTCATTACAGTGATAAAATAATGAAAATATACTGCAAGAATTGAATATCTGACAGACAGTTACTCACTTCTTCATCCAACAGTTTTACAGATCCATGACCAAATTTTAAAGCTGTCTGTATGGGCTGGATCTGCATTGAAACTGCTGATAAAGTTGCTTCTTCCAAGCGATTAAACTCATCAAAACAGCCCCAAGCACCACATTTCACCAAGCCAATAAAGATACGAGCCATTGATTTTACATCAATACCCTAAATCAGGAGAAAGAAATGCTGCTATGACTAGGAAACACAAGCATAGGATAAACTACCTAATCAGCAGAAATCAAAGATTCAACATCATTAATACCAAACATGCCACTGGACAAAGTCCTGAGGCAATTCCATTCATGTTTCATCCTCACAAAATTTTTAAAACATATGACATAATATTAAATCTCTATTTCCTCCTCCATCTTCCAAGTAGTTTTACATGATATTTCCTTATAAAAATTCTCCATGCACTTCCTGGTTCTCATAATGGACCACATTACTATCCTACACAACTCCCTTACATGAACATGAAAATATAACTTACATCAATACAAAACCTGTTAGAACTGAAAATTAAAGTATGAAGTCCACAGGAAATATATATTTGCTCTTATTAGCTGATTACAGTCACAAATATAAATATTCATATGATCACAACATATGTACATAACTGAGAAGCAACAGGATTGTGACAATCAGTAGCTCTGGGCATAAGGATTTCATAGTTTTTAGGCATTAACTAAAATTATAATTCCTTTATAGAAACCATCTGTCATTTGGACAGGCTATGGCCAGCAAGCTTATATTTCAGTGTTTTACCTCATCACAGTTGAACACAAGAACCTGACGGCCTAGAAGGCTTCCCAGTGTCTTCACAGACTCTGTCTTGCCTGTTCCAGCTGGTCCATATGGGTTACCACCCAGTCCCATGCTCATGCCCTGCAAGACATATACATACACAATAATTTTGTTATTGGATATGGTAACTTCCAAATATGTGATATTATTTCCTTTTATTTATAAATTTCAAAAGCCAAAGTTTTTGCAAAAGTTACTGACAGTTGGTCACTAATTTCCTTATGGTCTAAGCACAACCCATTTAAGGTTATTAGAGAGACTAAGGACAGGCATAACAGGCATGATCATAGGAGAGAATGGCTTACCTGTGTAAGAGTAAGGTAACATTTGTCAGTAAGAGGTGTATGAACCAATTTTGGTGAATTTCCTTGATATTCATAGGTATACTCAAATTCAGCATCCACCATTCTGGCCACAGCTACACCATCCTTACGAATATAGAACCTACATAATGCAAAGAGAATTAATTTACAGAGAGAAATTTTCTTGTCACTTGCACATTTCTGTTCAGAGTACTGATAAATGTAATGTGCCAAAATGCTGTATGTCCACACATAACACCACTGCAATCAATAGAAGGCTGTTTTAAATTAAATTAAATGTTTATTCAAATTTAGGCTGTTTATCCTGCCTCACATTGCTTTGTTATGTTCCAAACAGTAAGACTCAAGTACACCTAAGTCTTTTTCGGACCAGTGCTGCTGCAAGCAGTGTATTTATGTACAACATTTTTTTTTCTGAAGCAAATATTTTACATCCCTTCAGTGGAATGCGATATATTTATCAGAACAAATATTGACTGCAGCAATGCATACCAATGGTACAAATTTCCAATAAACAAATGTGTTTGTTCCACTTCAATGTTGTTCATTTATAAGATCCAGCTATAGTGTGCCCAAATCATCTCTTAGTGTATGTCATACAATCAGCAGACAATATTACAGAAGAAAAGTCCTGTGTGTTCAATGAAATCCCTGGTCTAGTGACTGTGACTCCAAATATAAGACTACCTTCCTCATAATGATGTAATTATCTACAACCTTATTTGATGATGACACACCCTTGAAAATGTTTTATGACACACACTAGTCATTTACTTAAACCCTTCAGAGTACTACGTGCACAGCATTGCTTACCGCAGTTGCCTCTGCCAGTGCCAATCCTCAGCAGATGAGATACTAACACCAATCAGATGTTCCACAATACTCATATGATGGATTGTGTCCAATAACAAAGCTTTCAGCTTCAGCTCCAACTCCAGCGAATCTCCATCTGTGTCCCCATCAGCCCACTCCAATTCTAATTTAGTGTAAGCTTCTAATTGTGACTGTTAAAATTAAAAATCATTACAAGTGCTCAATGTAAGTCAAACCTGTTGTATTTAGAAGATCTAAAACATACTTTTTTATCTGTAAATAAATCAATAAATCATATAGAGTGTCTGTAAAGTAATGCTAAAAACTAACTTCCTTGATCAAGAGAAAGATAGAAATGTTGTGTCACAAAGTGGTATTCAAATGTTCTCTTCCAAATACAATGATTCTAAGAACAATAAATGTGGCAGCCACATACAGCAGAAATATAAATCATGAAACCTTGTAAGATTTGAGGCTTTCACGGCGGTGACTATGAAGAAAGCAGTCTTCTGGGATTTGGCACCGTGTATATGTGGTGTTAACCGATGTTTCGGAGGAACGTCGGTTAACACCACATATACACGGTGCTAAATCCCAGAAGACTGCTTTCTTCATGAAACCTTGTGTTTAAGAGGATGAAAGTTATGACATTTTCTTGCAGCACAGCAGAACATCATTTGCTTTTCAACTAAATGCAATCCTCATGGGTAACAATTTTTCTTTGATTTCAGCACTTCAATGGAGTTTCTGCTGTTTAGTTTTCAGTACTGTATATCAAAGCTCATATATTACAAAAAATAAAGCTGAATTATTAAATGTTTGTTCACCCAACATTATAAATACATGTGAAATCTGAAACATGTGCACTCTAGGTGCAGAACTAATTCTATGACATGGAAATTTGCTTTGGAAGTCATGACTCCTTTGCATGTCACTGAATAATTTCCATTTGGAAAAGCAAAAGTCAGATCATATGAATATACAGAATTTGTATTAAGATTTTAAAGAGAAAACAAAAGTTGACATCAACTGTTAGAATCATGTGTTCTTATTAGTATGGTATTTATATTAATACTAGTTAACATAACGTTTTTTTTAATTCAACAAGGACCAGGTATAAAAAAAACTGACCTTATGTCAAGTGCTTGTGATGCCAGGTTGACTATTATGATCTTTAAAACAACTGCTGTATCCAAAAGCATGTGACATCTACTGGCATTTCATTTAATCACATAATCAAGAAACATTTGGAAGGAATTTTCTTCTTGCCTATATTTGCCATTTTTAGAGGGAGTTTTTATATACAACTTATCCATGAAATAAAAGTAAATCTAGTACCTGTGATCAAGAGCTTGGCTCTGTATGAACTAAAGAAAGCACTTGTAGGGTTAAAATAAATTCTCAACAAGTACAACGCACATCTTGATATAATGAATTTACATTAACTGTGAGGGTCAAATTATATCTGGTACACATATGGGTCCAGAATGTCTGGCAGGTGTAGGGCAGTTGTATGCAGTGTAAGACTAAGGAGGAGGCTATCTTTCTCACTTGGTGTACATGCTGCAGTGTTCCAGGCAGAAATCTTTGCAATTTTAGCCCATGCAAGGGTCTGTATACAAAGAAAATATCCATATAAAGAAGTGAGTTTATATTTTCTGAGATGACAAGGTTGTTTTGTGACTCCTTGAAGCATCAAGGATAATGTCAAAGCTAGTTTGAGACTGTCAGCAGGCAATATTTGCCCTGTCCAATAGGAATGAGATAAACCTTCTCTGGGTCCCTGGCCATAGCAGAATTCATGGCAACAAGGATGTAGACGTCTCAGTTAGGAAACAATCCAGTTCGTCATATGAAACCAGCAATACCAGGCTCAATACTAAGGTGTGGCTGAACAAGATGCGCTCTAAATACTGGGCTACCATGCCAGGTATGAGACAGTCTAAGCTCTTAATTGAAGGACCTTTGAAGAAACTGTCTAGACTTACTGACCTTGGACAGAAAACAATACAGATTAAATGGGCAGAGAACATTGAGACAGTACCTACATGTCATGAGCATCTCAGATAATGTTGTATGCAGGCAATGTGGAGAGGAGGAGGAGGCCTCCTACCATATACTTTGTCAGTGTCCAGCTGTGGATGGGTGTAGAATGGAGATCTTCAGCTCAGAATTGGTGGAATTGATATACAGTAGTAGGGCTTCAAACAGACTAAGTTCTGGCTCTAGCAAAGATGACAAGGCTGTTGAAGGCTCCTAGTGGAGACAAGGGCATATGATAGACCCAGTAGTGGTCAGAGTGCTAGAAGCAACTGGGCTTGTCCCCCCCCCCAAACTAATTTCATTTTTATGTCACTAATGACTTTTTCATAAAGTATTCACATATTTATGTATGATGGTACAGCTGGGATGTACAACTGCAAATAAATTCATGGAAGGAAGAATTTTTTTCACTGCTATGACTAGCTCTGGGGCCCATCCAGTGTCCTATTATCTGTGTATTTATAGAATTTATGTGATGTTTCCAGCAAAAACAGGACTCCTATTTTCCTTTACCCCTTGTGTGTGTCAGAATGTGTGCATATTTAGGTGTATGGGGGTGTGCATATGTATGAATTTTCACTTGGATGTAAGTAGTAAGTTTACATATTTTTACACAAGGGTATCATTTCATTTACATATGAGAATAAAATATTTAAGGTGATACAGCAAAAATTGTACCTTTAATGAGGCCAGAAGATTTTCCAGACTATTAGAATGAATAGCTCTTTCACATCTTTCAGTAAATGTTACACTTTCGGCTAAACACAAAATCTGAGATGGATATTTCAAAGGATCAGCTCCAGAATTAGACTTCTGAATGTCACCTATACAATCTATAAGAAGTTTCTTCAGAGTTGCCTTCATTTCAGCTGCTAAATTACCCAACCATTCCTGTAATTATGATATAAACAAGTTAAAAGACATGTTTACATTATATCCTCTGAATTATGATGAATGCCATGTAGTCTAGTGAAATTCCACTGATGTTTTAGAGGAACATATCATCTCCATCTTTGGTGTTGAAGACTAAGACAAGCAATGTGGCCTGCTTTATGTTGGTTTCCTGCTTGGCTTATGCTCCCACTCTGGAAATGATATCTTCCACCAAAATGTCAGGTGACTTTCATCAGACTGCACAGCAATAAATTGCATATGACAGAACCTTTCACAGACACCACTGTGAGAACCACAAATCCAAAATGTCTACTCTATCCATAATGTGTATATATTGTGACATGCTGACCCCTACCTCCCCAGCTGCACGTAGCGGTAACGTAGCGCTCGCGTAATAGGCAAGTAATCACCCCGCATCCTGGTAGCTATGCAATGCGCGGTGACGTCACGAGCGGAGCCGAAGAGAACCGAGCCCCCGCAACCTGGTAACTATGCAATGCGAGTCAACAGCGGTGACGTAACAGGATGACGTGGCACTCATTACGCAACAAGCAAGCACTGCAGCTATATAAGTGAGCTGCACAGTGGCTGCGAGTCAGTTCTACTGTAGCAGTCGGCGACTTCAGTTGTACTGTGACAGCCACCGAGTTAGTTGTAACCTGGCCATCGCTGAAGACAGTTCCGAGTTGTAACGTAACAGTCGCCGCGTGTGTTATCAACAGTTCTCCAGTCAGCCGACTACCGTTGGAGTATAGCAGCCGTTGCGGAAAGAAGAACCGGACGTGAGTGCGATTGTGTAATTGGGAGTGTGTGATACAGTGATACCTAGCTCCCCTACTGTCAACGTGTAGACTACTGAAGACAGAGTGAACTGATTTGCACATAGGGTTATAAAGTGTGAAACCCCGCAACAGTGTTAACAGATTAATGCGCTTAGGGTTTGTAAAGAGTGGAAACCCGTAACATTGTTATAATTAATTGTAGCCGATAGTTGTAGATTGTTGAATAAACCAATTAACGATCTCTACGGCGTATTCTGTAATGAAACACGTTACAATATTAACCGTCTTTTAGTGCATACAATTTCACTTCACTTCACACTACATGTTTCAGCATAATTCTGCCATTCACAGGTGTATTAATCAGGTTAAACTATTGCACTGCCTGCCATCAAGTGTCCATTTATAGAATGATATAAAACGTGTGTTTGTCGTTGTTCAATAATAAAATTTATATGTTAAAACTTCTTAAGATCTCTCATCTTACATGTCATATATCAAACTCGTGTGTAATGTCATTCATCCATTATGTGAGTCATTCTTCTTATGTTTTAGTTGTGTATATACTGTGTCTTATGATGTGTCTTTCTTACGTGGCTGCATGCGTTGTATTCAATAAATATCTGATGTATATGTAAATAATATAGGGAGATAATTCATCAATCACAAAATAATTACTAAAGTAATTTAAATGTTGTTCCAAAGAAGTTACCATAAATGTGAAAGAAAAATATATTTTAAGAATCTCTGATTTCATATTCCTTTTACATAGTTATATACTAACACTGAGATGATCATTTCAATACTAGTGGAAAAGCTCACTGTATCTTGTATCTTCATCCCTTTCTTGTTTTTCTTTATCCCTTTCATACATTCAATTAATTTCAAGCGTAAGCAGGAACAAAGCTTCTCTCTCAGCTCATCATGATCATGACTATCACCATCATTACAACTGCCACTGTGAATTTTGATGGTGGTGGCATACTGTGTTATATTAATGGAATATAATATGGCAGAAAACAATTTAATACAATTCTGCATAAATGGAAAATACAAAATAATTATTTTATAATAAACTCATATACCATATGTTCTCTGCATTTTCTCCATAAAAGTACCACTCTGTCCAAAAAGTATCTGACCTTGGGCCAGGAAAAAAAAAGTTCTGTATCTGGGTGGTTACAATACCTAATCGCCTTCAAAGTAGGCCCCTTGTGACTCCACACACTTAGCCCAGCGGTCCTACCATTGCTGCAAGCAATTCTGGAAGGCTTCATTTGGAATGGCATGCAGCTGCGCCATCGCGTTCTGTATGATGTCCTCGTGGTTGTCAAAATGGTAGCCTTTCAGCGGTGTCTTCAATCTCGGGAACAGCCAGAAATCACATGGAGCCATGTCAGGATAGTAGGGAGCCTGGAAAACCTGCAGAATGCCGTGCTTGGCCAGAAACCCCTGGATCAGGTGTGATGAATGAGCTGGGGCATTGTCATGATGCAGCTGCCAGTTGCGTGCGTCCCACAGCTCCAGTCTCTTGCGCCGAACTGCATCACGAAGATGGCGGAGGACTTCTTGGTAGTACTCCTTATTCACAGTCTCGCCTAGTGGTGCGTACTCATGATGCACAACACCCCGGTAATAAAAAAAAAACAGTCAGTATCACCTTCACATTGCTCCGAACCTGTCGTGCTCTTTTGGGCCTCGGGGATGTTGGATGCTTCCATTGTGACGCCTGGACCTTGGTTTCCGGGTCATATCCGTACACCCACGACTTGTCATCAGTGATCACAGTCTTCAGGAACTCAGGATCCCTGTTGGGGCACTCCAGCATGTCCTGCGCGACCTCAAGATGGAGTTGTTGCTGCTCTGGCGAAAGCAGCTTGGGCACAAATTTTGCTGCCACTCTTCACATGCCCAAATCCTCAGTTAAAATTGTGTTTGCGGAACCTCTGCTGGTCCCAACCTCATCACCAATTTCACGGATGGCCAAACGATGGTCCTCCATGATCAGTGTCTGCACTTTTTCAATGACATCAGCTTTTCGGCTCGTTGACAGTCTCCCGGAATGCTGCTCACTGTCCGCCGACATACGGCCATGTTTAAAGCAGTTGAACAACTCTTTAATTTGAGTGACCCCCACTGTATCATCACTGAGAGCCTGCTGAATTGTGCGAATTGTTTCCGCTTGGGTATCCCCAAGTTTCTGACAAAACTTAATGCAGTATCGCTGCTCCAAGCGTTCTGTCATCTTGAGCGAAACGAGAATGCGACGAACACGCGTTACACCACTTCTCTCTCTGGCAGCCACAAACGCATCTGGCAGTGTTGGGAGTCAGCAAAAAATCACACATGCGCATGGAAGTCCCTTCTACCACTATGCTCAGTTTCCTCACCCGTTTGGCAATTACTTACAGCGGAAAAAAATAAAGTCAGATACTTTCTGGACATACGGTAGCGTTATATACATATTGCATGTCCAATCACAGTCATTAACTTTTGAAAAAGATATGAATAGAATGCCACTATTGTTTGTTATGTGCTCGCTGGATTAGTTACTTGGTTATATTAATAAATTTCACAGGATACAGAGATTAAAATTTTGAAATGTATACTGTGGAAAAAAAAAGAACAGACAAAAAGATGGACTAACAAGACTGAATTCAAGATAAACAATGAAGAGACATATAACAGAAAAAAAAAGAGATAAAGATACTTTGGCCTTGTAAAAGGACTGTAGAGGGGAAAAGTAATAAATATAAATAAATAAACGAAAAAGGAGAGGAAGATGGCTTGAAGACCCTGAACCTGGTGGTCAAGACATATACAGAAGGATATGGAATGGTGAGGACAGAGTCTGAAGTTATGTATACCATAGTGTGGAAAAATGTATATATTTTCATAGATACAGAGCCAAAATTTACAGGTGAAAAGCACATATATGAAGAAAATAATTTTCTTCCATTAATATAAGAATGTATTACATGTATTGATTTTCTTGTATTTAAGTAAAACTTGACTTTAAGGGCTATATGACAGTCACTGCACTCCATTCTCATAAACTGAGGCTGAGACAAATGGACCTACCTCAACTTGCTGAGTGAGCTTGATGTGTTTGTTAAGTTTCACAACCTCTCCTTCAAGTGACTTCATGGCCATAATATTTTGGCCATCATCATCAAACACAACACTGTGGATTCCAGCAAATAATTTTTTGAGGTGGGCCTGAATCACTCGTTCTTTTGTGGACTGACCTAGTATTTCCAGCAGGTCATCATCACCCAAAAAGTAGAATCTTGGAAACACAGAACGCTTCTCCTACAAAAAAGAAAAAAGTAAGCACTTAAACTTAACCACTGTCTGCCAGCATGTCACTGCAGAAGCTCACTAGGCATTTTTGGAAAACACTAATTTTCTCTTTAGACAGCTTACACTAGCAACTTAGGCTTCCAAAGATAATGGAATTTGAGTGTTTAGTCAACTGCACATTCACATGCACACATACACATACACAAGTAACATATTTTTCTAACTAACAAATGCTTTAGTGGAAATAAATTTCAAATGGTGCAACCAACATTAAAAAATTTCATATAGCAGACCCTTTGCTACATTATATGAAGGTTGGAACTTTAATAGTGGCAACGTTGCTGTAGAGACGCCATGAAACAGAACCAAATAATGTCGCTTATACTACACATTAATTACATACCTACCTTACCTCAGAGCAAATGGAATCTCCTTTCCCAAATCACACGCATGTGCAGTTACGAGAAGAACAGAGCCTCATGTTAGCTGGCGGTCTAATGTAGTGTTGTCACGATGTTTTTGAAACAGGAACAAAGGAGCTGGATAAAGATTGAATGTGCCAGAGGCTGTACAGCATGACAGTGTCATCAAGGTCTTCAAGGTCTTCTAGAGGCTTGCGGGGAATCTGCATTGCCTTACAGAACAGTGGCAAGGTGGGTAAAAGTCGTCAGCAAGGGACACCAAAATGTGGCAGACATGCGTCAGCCAGGTCGTCCTAGTGTCAGTGAAGAAGAAAAGTATGCTCTTTCCGTGTTACTGGAGAGTGATCGATGCCATACGATTCATGAGCTGGCCCAAGAGACAGGATTAGCGCATATGACTGTGCTTCACATTCTGAAGGAATGCCTGGGCATGAGAAAAACTGCATCACAATGGGTTTCGCATGATTTGATGGAAATGCAGAAATGGCTATGATACGACACTGCTCGTAACCACTTGGAGTGCTATGAGCGCGAAGGAGAGGCTTTCTTACACCATATCATTATGCTGGATGAGACATGGGCCAAATCATACAAGCCACAAATGAAACGCCAATCAAACGAATGGCGTCATTACGGGTCACCACAAAAATCAAAAGTTCGTCAGAACCCCAGCAATGTGAAAGTTATGGTGTTCTCGTGTATGACTGTGATGGTGTTATCCTAATGCATACCATTCCCCAACAGCAGACCATCAATGTGCAGTATTACGGTTCATTTTTGGAACGCAACCTGTGACCAGCTTTGAGAAAGAAGCGGTGACACTTTCTGCAGAACCCATCCATCATTTTGCAGGACAATGCTTGGCCGCATGCAGCGTGAGCTGTGGCTGATTTGTTCAATCGATGGGGCTGGGAAGTACTGTACCTTCTACCATACTCCCGGACTTAAGCCCTTGTGACTTTGACTTGATTCCTAAGATGAAGGAATCACTTCATGGCATTTGCTTCAGAACTGTTCCAGAGATTCTTCAGACAGTAGACCGCTCCATTCGAACTATCAACACAACAGGCGCTGCTAAAGATATCCTACGACTTCCACATCGCTGGCAACGGGTTGTACACAATGTTGGTGACTACATTGAAGGACAGTAGAACTTCAAAACATGCATCTATTTTGTATCAGCTGTAAATAAATAGTTGCCACTATTAAAGTTCTAACCCTCATATGACTGCAAATGGAAGATGGAAAGCTTACTCTTACTACATACACATTGACTGTGGTAAAAATATTGATAATGGTTCATAGTTAATAGATATATCTAGCAAGAATGGAGATTTTATGTGTCACAGATGGCAATAAGACACAATAGGTAAACCTCAGAAGATTAACAGAAATTTGTATAAATTCACCCAAAAATTTTCATGGCTTATTTGGGGCCTTTTGGTCTCTGACACTATAGAGATTAGGAAAGCAGAGGTTAGAAATTCTGAATGAAAACCATTTGAATCACAATGTGGTCTACTGAGTTGGGTTGTCACTAAATAAACCATAATAAAAGGGTACCGTATCATATGGTAGAATTGTACAAGTTATATCTTGAAAATGATGACAGTATGTTCCTCCAAAACGTTGGTAGCCATGTACCAGACTATAGAAGACCACAATGTGAATATTCACTACAATAAAAACCTCAAATCTCAGATAGTTTTAATCACAGTTCATGAAAATCAATGAATATAAAAATAGTGCACATAAAGTAAATTTTAACATGTCTTGCCATATAGGCTTCAGCATACTCAAATACAACTACTGGAATCAAAATATTGAGATGGTGGGGCAATCATGGCATAAGGTACGAACAGAAGTATGACGACTGAATCTATATCTCAGACAAATTGCACTGCACTTTGACACAGGTGTGATTAATATGCCCAGGTGTTAATGCACGTACAAACATGTTTATACCCCATTCCATTACTTCAGTCACTAGCAGTCAGCATTTAAGATCAGAGTATTTTTCTTTTAACAATGGCAAAAAGTACAGAACATCATGCATGGATTCAATTTTGTGAGAAGATTGGGATGATGTAGACAAACCTCATCAGTCAATGCAAATAATGTGTAGAGATGCAACAGTAAACGAAGCATAAATTTTAACACCATTCTATTATTTTAAAAAGGAACAAGTGACTGCTGAAAATGACGAGTTTACTGAACACTCTTATATCAGTAGAAAGATAAATCAGTAGAATAAGTGCATGATTTAATTCAATAAGATAAAACACTGACTACTTGTGAAATGGCTGAAGAGACACAAATTTATTATGGCTTATGTCAGACCATTTTAACTAAAGATTTGTTAATAAGATGTGTCATAGCCTAATTCATATCACATACATTTGTTGACATAGGGCCAGAAAGACAGCCACCTGTCTGTGGCTTCGGGCTTCTTTTTTATTGCTAGTGGGGTGGGACTAAGTCCCTTGTACTGCGGTCACTTCTGGCCTATTGTACCAGCCCCAGATGATAGGTGAGGGTGATTGTGGAGCAATTGGTAGAATGAAGATGGGCAGGGGAAACCGAAGTACTAAGAGAAAACCTGCCCCAGTGCCACTATCACAAATCCCACTTGACCAGACCAGGGATTGAACCCGGGATGCCAAGGTGGGAAGCCAGCGACTAACCACTTGAGCTACGGTGTGGCCCTGGCTTCGGGCTTGCTTGAATGCAAAGAAACCAATAAGGACTTCTAGAAAAATATCATAACAAGTGACAAAATATGTGTCTTCAGTTATGAATTCAAAAGCTAACAACAATTATCACAATAGAATTCCTCTTCTTCAACACGACTGGGGAAAACAACACCAAGTGCTCAGAAAACTGAAGTGATACTGTTTTTTTTTTTCAATTACAAGTGTGTCATGCGCCATGAACCAGGCCAGGCTCTTATCCAATAGGTAACAAGGGTTTAAGATATTTCTGTGATGTGGTGCATCATAGAGATGTCTAAAAAGGAGTGGAAATCTGACAAGTGGAAAATTCATTGCAACAAATGTCCATTGAAACCAGCTTGTGTAAATTTCTACCTGAACACAATATTAGACAAGTCAGACAGCATCCCTAATCATCTGATATGGCTTCCTGTGAATATTTCCTGTCCCATAAACATATGAAGAATAAATTTAAAACTTGATGAAGTGAAAAAAATTAAATATAGTCATGGAGCAATTGCTGACAAAAAATTGAGTCTGACAGGAGTTTTCAGTACTATCAGGAATAATGTAACAAATGTGTATGTGTTTAAGGAACTACTTAGAGGGGAAATAGCCTCTTGTCCCTGTTAATTACAATAAATTAATTTTTACTGCTTCAGGCTCGATATTTTTCAATCAACCATCATGTAGAAATATACCTACCAGAAATCCACATACTTTTACACAACAGTCTCAATTTTAAGATAGAGGTTCTAGTGTAACTGATCCACACAGTGTTACAGGCTAGATAAATTGCCGTAAATTATTTTTGGAGAAACCATCCTAGAGTTACTGATGAATCTTACAAATGTACAATATACAGTGAGACACCTATTAAAGACTTCTTTGGGAACTGGTGGATTTGAACATTAAACTGAGGACAATTTTAAATGGAGGTAATTTAACACTGAATTTGTTGGCTTTGGATCATTGAAAATGAGCAATAAGGGAAGACTCTAAATCAAGGAACATTAAATTGATGTCCCAATATAAAGATTAAAGATATATAAACCATATATTATCAGATGACAGCAAAACAGCAATAATAAAACGGTTTTTTTGTATCTTATTTTCCCACTCTATCAACAATCTGGGGAAGAAATACTTATTACAATAGAATGAAAGAAAGCATAATTACATGTTGAAATTAGTGACATACATACTTCAAGGAAATCATTGAGACTCTTCTGACATCGAGATAACTGGTCAAGAAGTACATTCAGAATCTGGTGGAGATTGATAATTTTGCACAAGGACACAACTCTGTTGTCTCGAGCAACATCTCCCATAATATAACGGAAATCTTGATCCACTCTTTGGAATCTAGCCTGATCTTGTGACAGTGTTCCAGCCCCAAATATAGGCTCGAGGTACACCCACCTAAAATGAGAAAATAATATACTGAAATAGATTGCATACACCTAAAACTAAAGGAAAATTACATTAAAATTCTACAATTGAACCCAAAAGAATGGATTCAAATTCATGCTTAAGGTTAATTAGGACATTTGATAGATTTACCTTAATATGGATGGCAAACAATACAATCACAGAATCAGATAAACTGAAATCTGAAGATATAAGCAACTGTACTCACTTGCGTTGTATCCGATTTAGGTTACGTAAATACTCATCCAGATCAGCTAACCTTTTTTCCCAAATTGAAGCTCTATCAACAAAACTATCATAGTTGGGAGAATTCTTGACAGACTGAAGCAAGAACTGATTGTCACCAACCTGACATGTTTAAAAACAAGAAATGTGAATATACAAGAAAAACAATGCTGTCACTTTATTTGTTTTACAAAATATAAGGAATATAAATAATTACAAGTAAAATTCAGAACATCTATATGGCACATTTTTCTGTCAGTTTATACCTTGTTCAGAATATCTTTGAAGTCTTTGATAAGCATCACAGTCAGTCCTTGAGAATCTTTATGTTCAGTGAGTAAAAACTTAGCTTCTACTTCCCAGATGTCCAATTCTCCTAGAGCCTGCCTGATCACTATCTCACTAGATGCACGGGCACTCAGATCCTAGAACAAATTAAAAACAAAACTCAATGAATTAAAATATTGTGACGTGGATGGCGCAACGGGAAGTAGGGGTCATGTGAACTCTGCGCTATCATGAGTTACGTCACATACCCCCACTCCTTCCATCAGTGCACATCACTCGGTGGGCGCCCCCTCCCACGCGGCGACATGGCAGTGCTTCCCACAGTGACGTGGTGGGAGGCACCGCCGTTACTGTGCGGCAATAGGCAACTCTCGGCAGCATTCCCCAGCAACATCGTAAACAGGCGATTAGGCAACAGGGATGTGAGGTGCTTTTCGTTGTCTGGCTGAGGGTTTATAAGAGAACTGCATGCCTAAGAAGACAGTTGAATTGTAACAGTCGACGAGTTCAGTTGTAGCGAGCGAATCGTGAACGCAGAAAGAAGAATACCGGAACGTGTGATTAGAAGTGATAGTGTGAGAAGGTGCAACAATTCATTGTAGGTCTTTCGTCTTGCTTACTTCTACACTAGATGTTTCGGCCGCAAACGACCATCATTAGGTGTATGCACTCACATAGCTGCCACACTGCATCCAGTTTAAAATTTAAAACCACAAGTCTTCCCAATTGTTCCCCTCGTCGTTACTAACAGGTTTCGATTTATTAGAATCTACTTTGCTGATATCTGTCTGCTTTGTGCATTATCTTTGTTGCCCACACCCATCAATCCCGATATTATGAACCGGCACCTTCAAAATCTTCAGTTCTAATTTGAAATTCTTTTAAAAATTAAAATTTTCAGGGTTACTCGCCCCATGTCTGTAGCGCTGCAGCGGCTACTTCTTGTTTTCAGCACTGTTATTCTGTGTAGGCTCCCTGGGTGCGGCCGCTGCTCATCTTTACTACGTGTGCTGTCTGATGTATTGTGTGCCGGTTCATAATATTGGTATTGACGGGTGTGGGCAACAAAGATAATGCACAAAGCAGACAGATATCAGCAAAGTAGATTCTAATAAATCGAAACCTGTTAGTAACGACGAGGGGAACAATTGGGAAGACTTGTGGTTTTAAATTTTAAACTGGATGCAGTGTGGCAGCTACATGAGTGCATACACCTGATGATGGCCATTTGTGGCCGAAGCATGTAGTGTGGAAGAGGGTGGGACAAAAGAACTACAATGAACTGTTGCACTTGGGACGGTGTTTGTGTCATGTATCGTATGGAGTGCAACAGGATGCTTAAATATAATACTGTGAGAAGGTATTGGGAGTGTGAAATACAGTGACCCTGGTATAGCTCCCATGTTGTACTGTGAATAAGTGAAGACTAGTGAAGATAGAGTGAACAGATTATTGTATAGGGCTTGTAAAGTGTGTAAACCTATAACAGTGTTATAATTAACTACAGCCAAGACTTGTAGGTTGTTAAATAAACCAATTAACAATCTGAAAGGCGTCTTCAGTAGCAAAACACATTACAATATCAACTATCAACTATTAACACCAAATTAAACCGATTCAATGTTGAATGCCAGGGATGTGGCACCATGTAGATCTTGCGTGACTCAACATTTTGGAGGAACGTATCACCTCCATCTTCGGGGCAGAAGGTGAGGAACCAGAGTGAGCAGGTGGCTGCAGAAAACCTCAAATCTTGCACAATTCAATTTTATCACATACATACATAGTAAAAATATTCTCCAGCTGTCTATCTGTTTGAGAAGCAAACTGATGGCATGACTTACATGACTTTCAATCACTATACACATGCTTACCTGAAGGGCATTTGCATTAGCAGCAATCTTCTCTTTAACATTTAAGAAGTCACCAAATGTAAGCATTTCAACTGATTTGCTAGGAATTCCAAGAATTCCAAACATTTCTAGCCAATGCTTGTCACTGAACATTTCTCCACGAATATACTTCAGTGATGGCAGCATGACCTAAAGAAATACAAAAAATATTTCTATGCCAGTCAAATAAGAAATTTTAGTTTCAATTGGAGTTATAACTGTTATGACTAAAATATTGTGTGAAGTTTTGAATTGTACTATTCAAACTATAAAAACTAAACAAATAAAAAAAAAGAGAATAAAACTCAAGATCTGGATTCCATATTTTATGCACAATTAATTGTTTTGTTTGCCACTGTGTTGTCATATCATAGGGTAACAGCAGTATAATGCAATGCAAGCTAAAGATGAATTATGCTTTTTGCTCAGCATATTAAAAGTTTCTATTCTAGATTCAACTTGAGTGATCAGAAAATAAAGTGTGCATATGACAGAAATTAAATGTGCTATCTCTTGGTGCATTAAGAAGAGTATGTGTGCCAATTCTACCTCTTCCACCCATATGACAAAAATCAAGATTGAAAGAGTTTTGTACTGCTTCTTGACTTCTCTCTCTCTCTCTCTCTCTCTCACACACACACACACACCCACATGCACACACATATATGTCTGCTGAAAGCCAGAATTGTGAAGATTGAAAGAGTTTTGTACTGCTTCTTGACTTCTCTCTCTCTCTCTCACACACACACACACACACCCGCATGCACACACATATATGTCTGCTGAAAGCCAGAATTGTGAAGCCAGCAAAGAAACAGTCATTGCTAAGTAACACCTAACCCCATCTAGTCACTAAGATCATGGCAATGCATATATTCACAAATAATCTTCTGTTACATAACACTGTGTACTTTACTGAGAGTAAACAGATGTTTTGGAAGAATATGTTGCCTTCATCTTCAGGGTTGAAGACCAAGCT